TTATGTATTAGTTTCAAGGCTAAAATTTTTCAAAAAAACTCTTGAAAACATAAGCACCTATTTTTTATTGAATTTCGAGTCTTCGACAACAGAATATAATACAAAATTTAAAAAATTAGTACTAATTTAAAGATTATACATTAAAAAATTAGCTATAATAAAGTTCATTCTATTACCATAACGGTATAAAGCAGTTTTTTTGGAAACAAATCATAGAAAGTAGAATAATGAGGGATAAAGTCTTTGGTAAATTAGTTTTTAAATCATATATTATACTTAAAATGACTGAACTGTAAGTACGTATAAGTATACATTTTCTAAGTTTTAAAAAAAACAAATAAAATAATTGCCATACAACACTATAATTTATTAAAAAATGTTAGGTTTTTTGTTCTATTTATAATAAAATAAGTAATAAGAGAAGTATTTGAACAAAGCTCTTTCACGTCTCTATCAAAAACCTATTATTTATTCGAAACCTATTTATTTCGTTTAAATAAAGTAATATAGAAACCAAAGACCAATTATTAATAACTAATAAGCTTTTAAAAGATTATAAACTTTCCAAAACTAATTATTAAGGTTTTCTTGAGTAGTATTTTGACAAAGCTCCATTACGTTTCTTTCCAGAACTTTATTCATTCAAAACCCTTTTCATTTTGTTATTTGAGTAAGATGATATAAAACCAAAAATCAAGTATAAATAGTTTATTATATTTTTATAAAAAGATTATAAAACTCCCAAAACAAATTGGAGAACAAAATGCATTTTTTTTTTTTAAATCGTGCTCGTTTAATGAATTATGAAATAGGTAGTCAAATACGTAATGTATATAATATATAATATATAATGGACTTTGTGGTCGTTTTTAATAATATAAAATTGTATCAAATTCAGAAAGGTTGTCATCCGACTCACATTATATTTCAACCACGCGAATTATAGGTTGAACACTTTTGTGATTACTTTTTCTTTTATTTTTGAACCGACCTTAACAGAACAATATTCGTTTATTATTTATTTCAGAAAAACTCGATAATTGACCTCTAAAAACTATGACCGCGTTCAATTTACAGTATATATATATATTACATATAATAGAGAGGCGTGTTACTCGACAAACAAAAAGCCACACAAAAATCTTTAAGTACCCGTCAAGAATCTATAACGATAATATTTATATAAATTTTATATTGACGATTGGTATTTTTAGTACTTGTTTGAGGATATGGGTATACAATAAATCATTTTGTTCAGATATTCGACTATTTGTTTATTTCATACACAATAAGAGAGCTTTTAATTTTCACTAAAATAAAGAAGTATGATTTGTAGTTTGTACCAAAATAAGCATCTATGTATTGAATTATTTCGTCTTTACTTTCATTGACGTCAATACGTGATGATTTCAAACGAATTCAAATTCATTTTTCGGAATTTTCGACTACCCGCTGCCTTATTTGAATATTATTGTAGAGTTTGACATCAAAATCAGTTGTGAACACGTTATTACATAGTATTCAGAGTATTCAGAATTTTAATACATACTCGACAATAGTAATGCATTTATAATATAATACATGTTTTTCGTATATTATTATTATCAGGTAGCTTTCAAGTCAATACTAACGTAGTATAGAGCAATATGAATAGGTTAGTGAAATAACTGCACATAATCTAAAATTAAATATTCTATTTTATTACTTATGTGCTTTTCATATTCTATTATTGAAGTATTGAAATATATAAACGTACTATAGAAAAATTGATCGATTTTAATTTTGGTGTAAATTACAATTCATGTTTATTTCTACCTGAAAATTGCACACCCATCATTATTTTTGTGAAAATTACCTCTATACGTATTTTCAAATACTTTAATGCAAATTATACCTTCTACTTATATTTTGAGTCATTTTTGATGCGAATTAATTTACATATAAAGTAATATTGCTGTTCCCTACGGTTCATCGATCTTCCTATTTTATATTAACATAACATATTGCGTAGTATAATAGTACATCAGTACCTTTCATTTATTTCTTGAGCTAGGATTTTAATGACCTAAAAAATACACAAAAACGCACTAAAAAAAATAAAAATAAATAATAATGCAAAAATGACTTTAAAACTCTAAAAAAATTAACTTAAAAAAAAAAACGAAAAAATGTACTTAGATGAACAAAAAAAAAAATTAATTTTTAAAATAATAATTATTTATTTATTTTTATTTTATAAAAATTACTAAAAATAGGTAAAAATTTGTCTTAAAATATATTCAAATTTGAGTTGACAATTAATTATATTACTTTTTCAATATCAATGGACTGGTGTAGGTAATTGGAATTATTTATACAACACATTAAAAAAAGCTTAAAATAAACAAAAATTAGTTTAAATACATAAAATTGACGTAATATTTTTAAAAATGGCCTTAAAATGCAAAAAATGCATATAACTAAAAAAGTCATCAAAATCCTATCTCTATTATTTATTACACAAATATTGTGATAGGATTTCAACGTCGGTCATTAGTCGCATTGCCATCACAACGGGTCATTGCGAGTGGAATCATCGACTTTTTACTGTGGGACGGTGGGACCCTTCCCGGACAACCCCAACAGTGTGATCAAATCTACGGCGTTTGCAGTCCATTTGATTACGTAGTAATAATAATGGTTGTCATATGGGTTCGGCCGTAATGCTAAATAATTGCACTTCAGATTCCTTTACCACATAGAATAATGTAGTGTATGTTTTGTGAGATTTGCAGAACTGAGGTTATAAATTAAAAGCTTAAACGGATACCAAATTGGGGTAGCGAATGACCCACCGACGAGTGACAACCAAACCCTGTAATGTAGTTAGGTAACTGCATAATCTACGACATCTTTAGATTTACATTTTGGCCAACGAAATCTTGTATGATTTATTCATTATTGTATTATTAATGTTTGTTTTACAATTAGCGAAAAAATCTCGAAAACTCGTGTTTCAAATAAAAAATTAGTCTGTTTAATTTCTTACACGAAAAACTTTTAAATAGATACGACGATAAAAATAATATTCCATTTTCATAAAGCCGTTTGCTTTAGCTATAGAGATTTTATTACTATAAAACGTGTAAAATATGAGAGAAAAAAAATAAATTACCTATACCTATTGTATTCTCTAGAACTATAACTGTTGATTAACCATGAACTATAACATAAGTTACTATTTTTTATTATCACATTTAAAGAAATATAAAAACATTTGAGTTGTTTTAACTGTTAACGTTTTATTTTTTTAAGTTATGTAAATAAAAATATTAAAACAATATATTGTGATAGACGGATTTTGTAAGATTTATTTTCGAAATGCAACTATTATAATTATTATTAATTACCAACTGTACTCGTTATATATCCATAAACTAATATTTATTTATTTTTTAATTCTATATAATATCTTTATTTTATGTAGAATTAAAAAAGCCAATCATAAATAATTACTTATTATACACACTTTACTTAGAGCTGTGAATAAAATGCATTATAAATGTATTTAGTATTTCAATTTTATATTACTGGTTTGCATAAAATATATCAAAAATTAACGAAGAACGAGTTTAACATTAATAAGTATCAATAAATATATCATTATGCATAGTTTACAATGAGTTTTAAAAAAAAAAAATCTATTTTCTTACAACAAAAAAGATTTATACACAGATAGGTACACTACTAAATACATACAAAATATTAATAAAAATTGTATTACCATATCACCTACAAATTAATATATATGTACTTTAAAAAAAATGTAAATTACTTATAAATATAAAAAATTCTATATTAAAATTTCAAAATGATACACATCTTATGATTCAATGATACAATTTTATTGGAAGTTTATACTGTAGGAACTTATTGTCTTAAAATAAAATATACGTATTTAATGTTGTTAAATTATGAACTCATTGCGCCTGAGTCAAATACAATTTATTTTGTTCAAATTTTTATTGCAAAACCAGTGCATACCAATAAAATTTAAACTAAATCTATTGTAATGTAGCATAATATAGCAAAGCTAGGCATTGACGAATTAAAAAAATAAAATTATATTAAAAAATTATTTGATTTTAATTTTTGACATAACTAGTTGCTTTTGGGTTTCCGATAACTTAATTACTAACCTGACTTAATTATTTTTTGAATCGACGTGAAATCAACTAACTAAATTTTCCATTGAGTTCATTTATTTTATTTCCAATTTTATTTTATTTATTTAAATTGCAATCAATCTTGTCTATGTCTATACATGCTAAAAATATTTTGGATTTTGTTTGGAGTGAATTGTTTTTTTGACGGAAAACTTTAATAAAGTACTATATAGAAATATCGATATAGTTTTGATTTGGCAAAAAATGAAGTATGCTAGTGTTAAAAATAAAACTTTTTTTAACTTAATAAAAAGTTCAAAATATAAAATCAACTTAAACTTCAAATTGTCTTCTTATTAATTTAACCGAGTTAAAGAAAATCGTTTGGTTGCCCAACTTTACCGCTCCATATAATAGTATTCTGTTCGTCCAATTCAAGGATAATCAATCACAGTTTTCTTAAGAGTTCGTTGTACCGCCCAAAAAATATGGGAAAAATAATAGGACATTTTGTCATTCCACCTCGCGCCTTATGGCTTTTGTATTCCTATTCATCCACAGGCGTTTTTCGTACGACTGACTAGTGATTCTTCGTGTTTCGATGATGATAATGATGATAACAATGACGTTATACACGAAGTGAATAAGTTGAATAGACGGTCATCGCCGGGGCCGCATTGTATGACCTGGCAGCGCGCAAAAATAATAGGTCGTACACCGAATAGGCATACAAAAACAAAACACTATTAATTGCCGTCTCGTGTGCGTGTGTGGATATGCTTACGTACAATAATAGGTATAATGTATAACTGTTGTGATATTTGTTGTTTTATTTTTATTTTTATTTTTCATCAGGAACGGCTGTTGTTGTCCGTGTTACCGGAACACGTAGCCGTCAAAATGCGCCAGGATTTGGGTGAGGCATTGGACAGTCAATTCAAAAAGATATATATGAGTAGACACGAAAATGTTAGGTAAGTACCACCTATATATAATATATTATGTGTTTTATTGGTTATATCAATAATGAAATAACGAAAGTCGAATTTCGTTAAAAGAAAATCACTATCAAAAGAACTGATGACCTTATGACTTTAGTCGGAAACTTCAATTACTAAAGTGTAAACCACCGTCTCTTATTACCTATATAGTATTTAATAAACGAAAATTTAAAATGACGAAAACACAAACGTACGTCTTGTATATAATACTTTTAATTGTAATGGTTTTATTTTAATTGGATGATAAAATATTGTAATATATACGATACGATGCGGCAAATTAAATACAAACACGCGTGCATATTGCTGAATCGTTCTCGGCCCAAAGTCCTAATAGATTATTGAATTTTTTTTTAATAATATTACATAATTATTTACATTTATCGACAGTACTGCTCTACTAGAACATTATTATAATAAAGCTTAAGGTGTAATGGGCAATGATAATATTTTAATTCGTTCGGTTTACAAAATATAATTAAATCAATTCTATACGTAGGTAGTTTTATATCAAAAAATGTACACCGTTATGTAGCGAACATGTATAATAATTTATTTTGTACATCGTCAGCAGTTTAATATGTACATAAATTGCATTCCATCAATAAATGTTATTGTTTATCATCGATAAAATAAAAATAACATACCCCACCTGACCCAAAATTTAAAAAATAATATAGGTATTAGGCCTACAAATTACAATTTGAACTGAGCTCAATCAACAATCATACATATCGAACATTCGTTTTACATTAAATAAGTTTCACTTAAATAAAATTTCATATTTGCAATATTTTCCGTACAAAGGTAATATATTTTCTTTGGTATATATTATGTCTTGTTATTCGGACATGACATTTTATTCAATATATATTCTGACATACGCGTACGATAGCAATATTATTTAAAAATATTATTTAGTTTATGATTTAGAATACTGAAATGAGTCATACAAAGAAAACAATTTAAAATTCAATACTGTTATAACTATCTATTTATTATAGTAATCACTTACTTCAAAATAAATTTAATTGCTGCATGTTTTTATTTCATCAATAATAAAATGCTATACCTAGGTACCTATTGCAATATTATAATAATATAATATTTTAATTCGTCTGATACAAATTGTGACATAACTTTAACTACTTAAGTGGCATAGGCGCAATTTCAATCTTTAACTCGAAGAGACTAAAAAAATTTGTGCCAAAAAGACTAGTATGAGGGTATTTTTCTCACACCCACTCCCATTCAGCATAACTTTTAAAATCTATCTAAATTTTATATCGTAGGTATTATTTTTTTTTTTGTAACATTATATGTTCATTATATACAAGCTTTTTCAGATAAAATATGTAAGGGTTGTCAGTCTACCATAATAAAACAAATTATATTATTAACTTGTTTTAACAATGAAAATAACTAAATTAATAAATTTATTTTTACTTTCCTTTAAAATACATTCTGTAAAAATATTATTGAAAATATTCTTTTTCTATTATCTATCTTTAAAGAAAGATATAAAAATGTCTTGATGCATTGAAATTTTAAACTATATCACAAATATAAATAGTTAACAGCTAGTAATCTCACAGTACGATAATATATAACTTTCAGAAGCAACTTAGCTGGTTTCAATTATTAATAGAAAAAAAATTTTATCTGTCTTAAAAATTTCATTGATTATATTTTTAATTAATCATTAGGCAATAAAAATTATTTTATTTGTTACAAATATGTATAAAAATGGTGCAATAATTGAGGGGACTAAGTACATTGACTTTTAATTATATTACATTTTGAGTTTGATAAAATTTAACTTACATAACTTTATATGTGATACATGGTTTATGTATATGCTTTTTAATAGGCATATTAGCATATTAGTTGATCGTATAAAACATTTATGTTTCGATTTAAGCATTATGTTTGCCGTTCCCCATAATTGTTATTAATAAAGTGATTTTATTTAAAAGCACTGTAAATATTTTCTTACCTCTGGTTGTAGTACTATTCAAATGAAAACAACTGTATTTTTAATTTAAGTATTACATTATAATAACATAACACAAACTATAACAACAAACAAATTAATTAAACGGTACGTGGGTTAATTTTATTGTTATTTTTTCCGTTTTATTGAGTGTTTTATAAAATGTAAACCCAACTTTTAATGAGAGCAAAGTAAAGGGAATTATTTCTGTTTTTACCTTTGCTTTTGTTTTTTATAGAAACCTAATATAGTAACCTTCGTTTAATGTTTTTCAAAAAACTAGTATTCATTTCAAATAAATAATAACTAAAAGTATATAGCTATTCGTGTATACCTTTAAGTTAGGTTATATATATAAGGTGTATACCTTTAGGTAATAACATTATATAACTCTTGTCCTAAATTATCCACTTGCGCGCACGATACAACATAATATAATATATAGTTTTAAAATATTCATATTTCATATTTTTTCTTAAAGTAAAAAAAAACTCGTGTTCGAGAACAAGCGTTCATATTGAATTTTTTTTTTTTTGTTTCACTGTGTTTTAGTTTTTTTTTACTTTATTGTAAAAAAGTATTTAATTTTTTGATCTTTCTACCTAGGTATCAATTTCATTAATTTTAAGTATATTATATATATATATATTTTTTTTAATAACTCTGATTTGATTTATGTTTTATCGCTTATATTTATTATGCATTATAGTATATTGTATGCTGACATCGTTGGATTCACGGCAATATCGTCTACATACTCGGCTTCGGACTTAGTAAAAATTCTCAACGAGTTGTTCGCCAGATTCGATCGACTGTCCGAGGTGAATTATTTTTATTCCGCGATAATTGATATTATGTACCTGTAGAGGTTGTAGCACATAAATTTATGTTATTTCCACGCGTGTATCGTACATATTATTTTACGGCCGTCACGACTTACCATTTTCAGAAATACCAACAGCTCAGGATCAAGATTTTAGGCGATTGTTACTATTGTATTAGCGGCGCTCCCAAGGAACGACCCGATCACGCTGTGCTCAGCGTGCACATGGGACTCTCTATGGTCAAAGCTATCAAGTAAGAATTACGATTTTGGCCTCAATTCCGATGGCGTATAGTTAGTATGTGGCGTATATTGAGATGTATAATTTTTTTTTTTTTTTGTTTCTCTACCGTATCAGGTACGTACAACAAACGACAAATTCGCCGGTGGACATGCGAGTGGGCATACACACGGGTGCCGTTTTAGCCGGTGTTCTGGGCCAGAGGCAGTGGCAGTTTGACGTTTACTCCAAGGATGTGGAATTGGCGAATAAAATGGAAAGCAGTGGAATGCCGGGGTATGTGTCCATGTTGTAAAGAAGATTTAGAAGAAAAATTGTTTTTAACAAAACACTGTTTATTTTTGTGTTATCAGACGTGTGCACATATCGGAGAAAACGTTGAGTTTCTTAAATGGAGAGTTCGAAGTCGAGCCCGGTTACGGCGAACGCCGTGAAGAAGCGCTTAAGATGGCGAGCATAAAAACATTCTTCATCATAAAAACGATCAAACCGGTAATAATTGTCGTTTACGTGGATTTTTCACGATGTCGAGTGATTTTTTTTTTTTTTTAAACTATTTTTTGTTTTTCTCGTTACAGTTCAAAATGGATGTGCAGAACGGTTCGTTGACCGATCAGAACAGTACTAGTAAAGAATCTGTGGTTAGTACCTATATTCTGTTTATTGATTGTATTCACGCTTACTTAATTGATATATTATGTTATATTCACCGACAATATTATGTGTGTGTACACAGTGCGCGACACCGATTGATGATGCCGATATAATAGCCCAGGCCAAAGAGGACTCCGATAACTTTAAGAAACGATTGAGAAAGGACTTGATGAACAGAGATGGTCACAGGTAATTGACTGCATAAGTGCACTGTGCACTAATTGCTTGTATAAGCGGTTGTAGCTCATAAACGCAAAATATGACCCAAACGCAACCCAAAAGCACAAAAAATAAATACCTACCTTTTTAACAAACCATAAGCGCAAATAAATTTTATAAAAATAAAGTGTATGTTATATTATAACTAGGGAACGGATTTAAATGCTCTAAAAAACAAGAAAAATGCCTTAAAAAAAGACGATTTAATGCCTTAAAAAAATGCTTTAACATCAAAAAATGCACTAAAAAAATGCCCTAAAAAACTTTAAAAATGTATTTATATTCAATAAAAACACAATTTTGAATTTAAAACTTATAAAAAAAACACATTATTATGAAAAATCTGCTAAAAAATATTTAAATACAATAAAACCTCAATTAATTAACTCAATTATCTTCTGTCCATCTTCTTTTTACCCCAAAAAATTAAAAAATTAATAGGCATACAATTTATATAGGTATATTCGTTATACTATAAAATAAATATTTAGATTTTTTTATTTTTTTTAGAATGAATGTTGAAAAAATGACTCAAAAACCATAAAAATGCATTAAAAATGTCGAAAAATGCTCTAAAAATGTAATAAAGTCTTAAAAATGCAACAAAATGCAAAATAATGCAAAATAAAAGTTACATTTTTTAATTCCTTGATGTATGAAATGAACTTTTTGCTTGAAAACCAATGTTTTCGGACATTCATAAAAAAATGCAATTTGCATTTAAATCCGTTCCCTAATTATAACTTATAACTTATAAGTTTGATATAAATTTACACTGCAGTATATATTGTATAGTTACCTTTTAAATGACTATCGACCTTCACTGTAATTCGTTACGATAAAATACGATACGATAATACTAAATTTCAACTGAACTCGATCACTGTTAATGTTTTTTTTTAATTATAAAAATACTATAAATTTAATTAAAATGAATAATTTAAAACAAAACTTATAGTTTAATGGGTACAATATTTATTTTCGCGCTTATATCCCACTACTAAGGTACAAAAGCGCAAAATTTATTTGATCTATCGAAAAAAATCAACAATTTGTGTTTTTAGGTTTGACCAGTATAAGCGAGTTATTTTGACTTTGTCGAGTTACATTGTTTAAAGGGCTGGAAATTACAACTATGACATATTATTAATATGTTGTAATTGAAATTTCAGTGTGGCCCGGCATAAGCGCCCAATGAAGAACGAATGAGGGGGGGAGACAGAGAATTGACCCTCATCCTAGAAAATTATACATCATAACTATATACAAATTTTAACTTGAAATCTAATAAATATAACCATGACAATAATATTACCTAATGACTCAGATAACATAAACATTTTCATCTTGTCCGCTCTTTTATACACTTTCGACACCGCGTCGTGTGATGTACAGTGGTGTTATCATAAATATAAATTGAAATCGACATACTTTAAATATTATTATTTGGACGAATGATTTTATAGTGTTTTCACGAACACGTTTTACCTAAATGTCGGGAACATAAAATCAGTTGAATATAATAGGTACCGTCACAAATTGATTGTACAGCTAATGTCCCATGTAATAAAAACAATAAGAGCTCTGTTTTAGAATATTCCAATTTCTCGGTTTATTAATTTTCATTCGTTGTTTCAAATCGTCGTTCTATTATCGTCCCAAATTTACGAAACCATGTTCTCGTGTCGGAGATTCTGTGAATACCGCGATTGAATGATTGATTTCACTTTAGTTAAGGTGTAGCCGGTATAGGTATAATAAGTTTTCTATTTATATTTGTATGTTAATGTATTATTTCCGTGAACAGAGTATTACAACAAATTCTCGGAAATATATATAAATTTAAATATATATTGGCGATACTAATTGATTGCAAAAATACCCTTCAATGAAGAATATCTAAATACTATTCAAACGTATTTTGATTCTATAATTGCGACGGCGCGGTGGTGCTTTTTTAGTAATTTTAATATTATACGTATATAGTTAACTTAATGATAATTTTATTGAAGAATATACATTATTTCAAAAGGTTTTTCAATAAGTTTTTTCTTTTACGTAATTTTAAGTCATTACAAAAAAACATTTTTTTTTTTTTTTTTATGATTTTTACATATTTTATATAAACATAAATTTTCAATTCTTTATGCAAAAAAGAATATTTTTAAGAATACTTAAACCATTGCTCACTGCCTTTCACTGTCGATTTTTTTACTTCCATAATGGATGTTTCATTAAAGCGTTCTCTTCAAGTAAACAGCCCTGTATTTTTCCTAAAGTCTTACCAACGATGAAACTATTTCGAATTAAAATCGCCATAACATTTCTATTCTGAAGATTTTAGACGTGCGCCCATTAAGTAACACTTTTTTTTTTTTTTAATTTCAACGCCTAATGCGACAACACCATTAGTTTTAGAGTGGAAAAAGATACGACCAAATATTTGATAATTCTACTGATTTATAACGTATTGAATTCAGTTCCCGTTAAACATTTTTTCTCTATCCGAAGTGATCGATTTAGTACTTTGAAACGTGCAAATAATTTCTGTATTTTAGCTATTACGGTTGTAACCGATCGCTATTCCTTTACGCATCGACTTGGCACTTCCAGTAGCGTTCTATACTGTTTTATCGTGATATACAGTGTCCCATTTATTAATTGATTAGGTTTAATCATTGTTCTTTCTTGATTGATTTTCTTTTCATCATTATTCTTGTAAGCACTCAAATTCCTTATCTCATTTTTCTAACAGGCGGAATTGCACTCTGTGAACGTTCTGTGGGCACAGAATACTTTTAATTACTTCCTTCTTTCTACCTGGTTAAATGCCACCTTTAATATCTGGAAGCCAAGGTGTCTAGTTGATCCCCTTCAACAGTAAGCTTACTAGGCTTTAATTTGAGTCGAGTAATTCACTTAACATCGGCTAGTTGGGGTTATACTACATAATAATAAGCTTACTTGGCTTAACGATATACTATACTAATGATAGTTATAATACGCTCGAGACTCGTTAGCCTTATCTGGAGGAAGCTGGCACCACTAGATTGGTTCAACCCACGTTGACGTGCCGAGTTCTATAATAACATTAACTAAATACCACAATTATTATACAATAAAAAATACACTTGTAATCAGAAATCACCAGTTATTAATACCGAATACTGATGACAATACAACACGACGAGGATCAAAATTCACGCCTAACAACTTTTACTTATTTAAATGACCACCAATCGAATCTTGGTCACCCTAAACTAGAAAATAAAAAATAAATTTATAAAATCGAGGTCTATAAACGATATTTATAAGAGAATGGTTCACTACAACAAGTTGACACGACGACGAACTATTCTTTGCTTTTGCAGTCTAGCGATTCTATACTGTGATTTCAATATTTTCCTCAAAAATGGTCACATATAAATATATAATACTACCGTTAGTGTATATAATCATAACAACGCAAAACAATAAAGAACGTTGACCTTTTATGTATAGAATTGTTACAAATAGTATTCTGCTTCGAAATATAAAATTAAAATGTATCCAATAATTAAAAAAAAATAACAATAAATTAAATAAAATGACCATGATATAAAATAGACTTAAAAAATTGTATTTTGTTATGACATATAATTAAATAAGAAAAAAAAACAAGTGTTTTACGTTAAATAAATCACGTATTAAGTTAGTACTAAAATTAATAAGCATTAAATAAAACAGTAATTTTGAAATTAAAATATAATCAATATTCAATACTAATAATAATTAATGTTTATAATTTGTTTGAAGGGATTTAAACAAACACACAAAATTTTTCACTTTGGCATTTAATGATGAAGCAAAAGAACGTGAATACAAATACCATAAAGAAGCCGCATCTGGTGTGTCTCTTATAGGTTGTCCCTTAGTACTTTTCCTGACGTCTTCCGCACAAATTATAATGTTACCCAGGTTTGTAATTAACAAAATTAACTGTAAAAAATGAATTTATTTTAAAATTATAAAAATCTAATAAGACTTTATATTATACATTATAGAGATATTTTAAGCTACATGTCCAGTTGTCTCGCATTAATATTGCTATTGATTATTGTAGTAGTATCAGTCGCCGACGTTTTTCCAAGAGTAAGTTAACTAAACATTGAAGTTTTTAAATTTAATTCAATGTAATTTTCAAACATTATGATTTCAAATAATATTATTACTTAAAGAAAATACGTGTTCAACCGCTGTATAGCCAATACCATTAATATTAATTATTAGAAGTAAAATTTTAAACTATTCATATATGAATGATTTTATTTATTTATATATTATTTATATATATATATCTAATGAAATTAAGTAATAATTATAATTATTGACATGAGATACTCATGGAAGATTTGATAATTATACTTATTCTTATGTTTTTTTTATTAATATTTATTGATTTTTTGGAATTTTTAAGTAAACTTAAAAACTATATTTTCAAACGTTTAAATATTTTTATACCATTTAAAGAATGATATTTAAGTTTTAAACTTATTTTTATAAATGAAGATTGTCTTTTTTCTTGTTAGTTTTAAAAAGATGCTATAAATAATGAAAATGCTCATACGTTGATTTGTTTGTAGACGATATTGGACCAACTGAGTCAACCATTTGATGCCTTTAAATTATTAATGTAGTTTTTCTGTCAATTCAGTAGCATCTAATTGTATAATAGGATAATAGTTAACTATGCTTAGTTAATCACCATATATGACAACATCTAAATTTAGTTATATTTGCTATTCAAAATAAATTTACGAAAAAAAAATTACACATTTTATTTATCCGCAGTATTTCAATGTTCAAACTACACGATTGAACTACTTTTCATATTTCGAAAGAGCTGCGCGTAGTGTGTAGAACAATCTCAAAAGCCATTATAATCAAATTTCACGCTTAAAATGTAATTATTTTTAGATTCTGCCATCAAAAATTGTATGGTTCAGTGAGACCATAAATGACTCTTTATGGATTCGACGTATACTTGGCATCACTGCCGCGTCATTGCTAGCGTCTACCAATCTTGTGGGACTAGTAAGTTAAACGATCATACTTGTTTGATCGAAAGTCATAATCTTTCAATTATTTTTTAAGGTATCATGTTGGTCTGACAAACAAATACTAACCAACTGCACGCATGGCCAAAACGATCCATCGACTTACTGTATGTATCCATCGTACTTCACTTACTTCATGGTATTGGCGCTAATAGCTACGTCCATGTTGACTCAATTATCTCATTTCACCAAAGCAACTATACTGTTCGTCATTACTCTGATGCATTGCATTGTCAACATAGTTACAGTAGGCACAGCTATTGACTGCGAAGATGCAATCATTTACAAACCTTTCAAGTATGTATGCCGATATAATATTATAATAACGTTTAAATTAATTTTAATAAAGTGTTGGGCAACAATATCTATAACTCGATACGATATCCATATCGATATTGTTTCATATCGTTTCGGCATATCGAAATTAATAGTTTATTTATTAAAAAATATTTGTTATTCCAGATAAGTTATTTAATAAATTGTATTGTACTGTGTAATAAATAATAACATCTGTCGGCCAATATAGCGTTTAATGTTTTATCAATCCAATATTCATATTTATTTATGTTAATTATTAATTTTAATAACTATTAACTAAAAACTAATAACTAATAATTAGTTAGAACTAAATAGGTAATATTTAAAATGTGTATGTTTAATATTTTTGATACGATATCGATACACATATTATATCGCTGCCCATCACTATTTTAATATATAAGTGTACTCTATGCAATCCATTTTTTCAAAGATTTTTCGTATTCAATACAGACATATTATATTTAGCATTATATTTACCATTTACTTGGAGGGGCCATAAATGTGTATATTAAAAATGAATTATTATTTACTTAACAAATTATGATATACTTCATTGAAATAAACTGTGTTCGACTATAAAAACTGAATTACCAAAGCTGGCAAAATTTGTCTACGAACTTTTCACTATTTATTTTGCTCAATGTCGTTTAGTATACCAACCTAATAAAATCTAGTGAAATAGTCAACGACTATAAAATATAATGTTTTGATATAAGAAAATCCATTATGTTTATTGCAACTCAATAAAAATGTCTAGATTGCAGGCATTTGTTAATTATCTTTTGTCTGGATTTATTCATGATTTTATTTAATTGATTTTATTAGCGTCAAGCGATTTTGGAGTCTTTTTAATTTCTAATGTCGTACAAATCCATATTTTATTTTTAAGCTTTTAAACTGTAGCCTCGCCAATGGGTCTGCAATATTGGATTTTCCTGGTTTATTTATAATCACATAATCACAGGTCTGTTGTCTAAGCGCACTTGGTTTAATCAACAAAAATTGTTTTCTTTTTTACTAAAAATAAATTCCACCGATTTGTTGTCAGTTACTAATTTGAAACTCTTAATGAATATAAGTGTCACTTTTCTATCGCCCACGCTATTACCATTCTTGATCTTTGTAATTCATACTAAATAAAAATTTCTCTTAGACTCATTAAACTAGAATTGCGATTTACTTCTATTTCATCGTGTGGACCATACTACTTAATCTATAAATGCTTTACTAGATTTTAAAGTTTTTTTTAGTTTCTCAAAAGCCACATTTTACTCATTTTTCTTGATAAACGTTATATGCTTTCAAGTTGATTTTCTTAAAGATTCTTTTTCGTTTGCTAAATGAAGAAAAAACCTATCCACATATAGGTATAAGTGAACTAAAAAGAAAACTGGCCGTTTCTTCTTTGCAATTTGATACATTAAATGAGCATTCGTTTTTCAACTGCGAGTACATAATGTACCTATATTTTTCGTGTTTGTTTTTATTTTTAATTTTGTCTTACAGTAATGGTCCTCCATAATGTTGTATAGAACTCGTTATACTTAGCTGAATAGTTCGGGAAATTTTTTAAATGATTTGTTGCTTCATATTGAAAACATGCATTTTTATATTTTTATCATCCCTTTCTCAAATACATTTAATTTTAGTTAAACTTTTTTTTTAATTTCACTTATTACCTTGTAAACATTATCTTCTGATTTTTCTTTACGATAATTAGTTTTCTGAAATTCACTTGACTGTAACGTAAAAGCTACAATCTTAATGATTTCACAAATATAAAGTTAAATTCAACTTACTTTTTTTTAATAATTGATTTCTCGAATCTACTGATGAATACTGTTCCAAAATCTGATTGCATTTCTCGGCATTTGAAGCATTCATTATTAATCGATGAACAAACTACACATCGACACAGTCAACTGGAAATTAAATTATAATACAATCATTGTTATTACAGTAGATTCTGTTATTGTCTATTCAGAATCACTATTTGTATAATATACCATTAAACATCCAGTGTTTTGGTCTAAAACTAAAGTAATTAATCATTATTATTGAACATAATAATTAACATACTAGTTAACATGATGATACAAACAAACGGTAATGGATATTTTTCATATCAAAAGTGATGACAGACAAAAAAAAAAACCCACACAGAATTGTAAAATCGATATATTCATTGCTCCGCTCCGAATATAAATTACAAAAGATACTATATATAATACAGATAGTAAAAATATTTGCGTAAAATTAAAGTGTACCGTAATAGAAAAAAAATTTTTAAAATATTTCTCGGTGAAATATATGATAAAGAAAATTATGCTTTATATAATATTATGACTTAACAATACAAATTAAAAAATAAGATTCTTCAGTTGGTATTAGCTCATAAGTTTTCTAATAACTACTATTCGCTATTATCATAATTTTAATTTGTAACAGTAGATGAATATAAAATTTATAAAACTGGTTGGCAAAAAATAATATTATTATGATAATACGTACGGTATAATATAAATTTAAAACAAATTTATAATTATTATGCCACTGCCTTCGCTTGAACTTTAAAGTTGATAGTACTTAGTTTATTATTATCCCCTTTAAAAAGTGAAATTTCTGGCTCGGGCTAACCTAACCTCAAGGCACCTTATAAAACGTATAGGTAAACAATTATAATATTTTTAATAAGTATAAACATAATTGTTTTCAGAGTTTTGCCATCGAAGTATGCATTGTCGTTTCTACTCATAGCCGTTACAATGGCACTAGTGTTTTTGGCTAGAAATGTAAGCTTCTACTTTATAAAATTAAAAACAACATAATACCTGTTTGCTATACGAAATATTTATTATTTATTCAGATGGATAAGTCATCAAGAGTTCTTTATCTATGGCGGACAGAAGTTGAAGAACAGAGGGAAAGAGCTTCAGACATACGGAGAAGAAACGAAGCATTAGTATACAATATTTTACCTCCACACGTAGCCAAACATTTCTTAGGTAGTTATAAACGTCAGCACGAAGAACTATACAGTCAAAGTTATGCCGAAGTTGGAGTTTTGTTTGCATCAATGCCAAACTTTTCAGGTAAGTTTCAAGTTAAATGTTTACTACCTATGTAAACCATTTACTTACTATTAAATAACTTTACGAGGTCTGTTCAAAAAGTACCAAGATTTTATTTTTAATAATTACAAAAATGAAGTTCTACATATTATTTAAAGATATATTCTTCAAAATACTCGACTCCAGACGATATTTAGTGATCCCAGCGGTCTTAACTATATGTAATATTTAACTAAATAAAATAGTAACTTTGGGTTTGGGTTTTGTTTAAAATATTCATTAATACACGAGGAATACATCTTTTTATAATTTAAAACGTTATCTTGAGTATAGATTAACCGTAATAACATTTTCCCCAGTAGGTACTTTTTCTTTTTCAACAGACCTCGTATAATCATAATATGTTAACAAACAAATTTATTTGTTTTAGATTTCTATTCGGAAGAGACGGTTAACAACCAAGGCCTGGAGTGTTTAAGATTTCTTAACGAAGTTATATCTGATTTTGATGCGGTAAGTAAACGTTAAACACGACAAAGTACACCAAATTACTATTAAAACTAGTATATATATTGTTTAACTACATAAACTAATTCATAACTTACCAATGTTTTGTTTACAGCTTCTGGAACAACCACGCTACCAGGATATTATTAAGATTAAGACAATCGGTTCAACTTACATGGCTGCTAGTGGATTAAACCCATCGCGTGTCGTAAAGGTAATACCTATTGATTTATTTTTACAATTATTATTATTCAATTTGATTTTTTTTATTTAATATTCTTGTCGGTTTATAAATCTGATGTTTTAGCCTGAAGATCCCATTGAAGTTAGATGGGCACACCTTGCATTGCTGGTAGACTTTGCTTTTGATCTCAAGAAAGCACTCCAGGGGATAAATGAACAAAGCTTTAACCACTTTGTATTGAAAATGGGTATGTCGCGATTATTTTATTTGGCACATATTTTGGATGTGATTTATTTCTTTTAATAATTTCTTTTTGAAATCCTAACACAATAATACAAATAAAAAATATAGTATATATTTTATAATGTGAAATCACAAATCATCACTGTAGGTACTAACAAAATGCGAAAAATGTTTTGGTGAAAAATACATCGTTAATTTATACTATAAATAAAATTCATACTCACAGATTATATTCTACTTACAATTAAAATAAATACTTAGGTGTAGGTACAATATATTTCAATTTTCATTCTTCTTGGCTTCTTGTCAAAATAGACTACTTGATTACCTATGCTGAATTTCTTTTCATATTTTAATTTTGCAATTTTAAATTACAACTATATTATTATCACCAAAAGATATCTAACAAACTAGTTTATACTCAGATCAATTTCAATCTATGTAATATGTTAAATATACATTTTTACTGCATTTTAATGTCTACTTTAAATGATAACGATTTAAACGTGAAATTATAGTTAGATCCAATTGAACAATTTGTATCTTTTATCTAAACATTTATTTTTATATTTTATGTATGAAAAAACTGAAATGAAATTCTGTATTTTTTTAGGAATCAATCATGGACCGATAACCGCAGGTGTTATTGGTGCGAGAAAACCTCATTACGATATTTGGGGAAATTCTGTGAACGTAGCGTCTAGAATGGAGAGCACTGGAAAGGCTGGATGCATACAAGTATGACAAGTCTTTCTCAAAATAAATTTTAATTCATCATTTTTAATCTTTTACAGCTATAACGATATAATATTATATTAAATTTAATAATGAACATGTTTGTGAAATTTATATATCTATGTCAAGTTTGTATAATATATTTTTATTTTAGATTCTGAGCATCTATAGGTATATGCAATTTTCAATTTCTTTTTTCAATTTTTTGTAGATAAAAATATTTTGATCGCTCAAAACAATTTAAAATTAAATACTAAGTTTCTATATAGATTTTATTTTAAAAATTTAAAAATAATATTAAAAATAGTCATAGTTTTTTCACGTTTTTGAAGTTCTAATTTTGGAAAATTTAAAATCACGAATATTTACATTTTTTTGTTGTTTTTGAATAGCTTTAACATTTAATACAAAATTCCTCATAAATAGTTTATACTGGACCCAAAAATCTTACAAATATATAAACTTGATTTTTTTAAGGACATTTTAAGTTCAAATTTAAACGAAATTTTATATTTAAACAAAGAACAACGATATATTTTCATCATAATTTCTTATTAGGCAATCTGTTACAATAAAAAAACAATAAGCTTAATTGATAATAATATTATTACACGCAGGAAACACGGAGCAAAGAAATTTCTTAGTAAAAGTGCCTACTTAGTCAAAAGAACAACGATTTTAGTTATTTTTTTCAACGGAATTTGAAAATTCTTCCGTACACTTTGTATACACAATGACATTTTTATAACACATAGATCGATTTTATGCTATTGTCTATTCATAGTTTAAATCGTATTACTTCAAACAGTAAAAAAACTTACTGTAATAATATCAAATATTTTAACATTTATATATTTACATGATAATGGACTAACAAAATGTTTACTCGAAATCATTTTTAGTATGCAATGATTTACCATAAATTCAAATTTAACACATCCATTACTATTTAATGACGAAGTATATTCGTCGTCAATTCCTACTATTCAGGGACACAGGATAACGGTTACTTACTTTTCCCCTTTTTTCCTGTTGAAGTTAATTATTATAATAATATATTCTACCCGTACGTGACACGTTTGATGGGTGATATCAATTATCATACAAACAAATAAACGCAACGCTATTAATTTAACCAAACGATATTGACGATTTTCATTATATACCACATTAAGTTATAGCCAAATTGGCAATAATAATAATAATAATAATTTTATACTAAATGACGTTTGTTATAGGTGACGGAAGAAACGTGTAATATCCTGCAACACTTCGGGTTCAAGTTCGAACAACGTGGTTTAGTGGCCGTCAAGGGCAAGGGGCAACTGATGACCTATTACTTGGTTGGCAAAGGGCTGCAGCCTAGTCAAGCACCGCCGCCGGTCATGGAGACACTGCCGGAAGTAGAGGAAGAAGACACCGACGAGTGCATGGTGGTCCGACAGGCACTGTTGCCTCGGACTGATCACAACGGGTCGACCACCACTTCCGGTTGATGAACAACGATAACGAGTTTAATTATTATTTTATATTTATTATATTATGACGACTACGAGGTCAACATGACATCGATCAATGTACAACAATACATATGTTATAAATAATATTATTTAAATTACCCATTTCCGTCGCAAAGGCCATACGAGACGTCACGTGTAAACGTAGGCTATACTTTCATCTACACGCCATGTGCCGAAAAATAATAACTACAAAATAATAGCTGTACAATATTATGTCATATTACTATTTACTACCTGCGATAACCTTACTACGATTTAAGTGTAATTTATTGTTATGTTTGTCATGTGTTTACGGTTGAAGACTTATCTGATCTATTCGCTTAATTTTTTTTTTATAATTTTATTATTTTTTAAATACCTATTCTGTTTCTTTGTATTTACTTAGTTTTCTTTCTACTTTTTTTTTCTTTTTTGTATCGATAATACCACCGTTAATGTTAAACACACCAAGACGATCGTTTTATAAAACCCTCTGACTTGATTTTATTTGTTCATATTGAACACGGAAACATATAATTAATGTAAAAACAACAGAAATGTTATGATTTTGTTCAAACTTTGTTTTATTTTTGTTTTTGTTTATTAAGATAATATTATAAGTAATGCGTGTATTATTACTATTACTATTGTTATTATTATTATTATTATCATGATTATAATTGCTATTATTATCATCATCATTATCACCACCATTGTATTTAGAATAATTCTGGGTTAAATTTTTTTTATTCAATAATTATTATTAATTACTATATTTACTACAAATATATTATAGTTATTGTTACCGCAACTAATATAACGAGTGCGATTCACATACATATTATACATTAATACATTATACATAATATAGATTAGTAAAATATTATATAGAACATTATTAATAATTTTTGATCATAATAATATTAGAGGTTTTTAATATTTTATTTTTTTTTGCCGGTAGATGTGTTAACTATTATTTTATAACAGAAAATGAGAATTGTTTATCTGCTTATCGCAAAAAAATAAAACCTACCCTTAAGTTTTGTGATTCGTTGTCTTTTTAACTAAATAACTCGTTAAACAAATAATAAAACAATAAAGTTCAAAAATTTCGTTTTACTCCAATTTAGTCCAATACACCAAGATGCATAAGTAAATCCTACAAATTATCACAACTGTACCTAATAAGTAATAACACACCAATAAAATTTAGCTATTGAGTACCTACAAAATATAATTATGCATTTTAAAGTTGTAAGAATAACTGTTCATCATAATAAAGTAATTCATATTGTTAATTTTTTTTTTTTTTAATGTTCATTAATGTAGACTCCTAATTAGTATCTATGGATTCCTATCTACATCTGACCTACATGATATATCATTCATAAATAAGTACTTTTAATGAATAGCATTTTATGAATTCATGTTATTAAAATTTAAATACAATAGATTACACTTAAAGTTATTCTATTTAATTTTTAAACACTTAATAGCGTATAATTAATGGTTAATATGGTCAACTTATACTGAAATCGAACTACCTACCGTTGATTTTTGGATTTTCTAAAACCAATAGCTGAGTTGCATATTGTCTTACTATTTTTAAAATTTTACTTTTCAATCAATGATTAAAACTATGTTAACTTTATACAACGAGAAATAACTGAAAATAAAAATACTATTACACTCATTTAGAAATTTCATGTTTTTTTTTCGCTGTATTTAATAAATAGTTTAATTTGTTCACAAATATCTGTCAACAATATAATGTAATTTTAGTTAAATGTTTTGAAAATTGATTAGTTGTAAGTATATTGCTTTTAAAATCTTTATGACTCTTAAGAAGTATATATTAATTTTTAATACACGATATTTGGTTTTTGTTGTTTTTGTTTTTTTTTTTTTTTGTTGTTTTTAATAGTTGTGTATAATACATCATTTTAGCTGTAATACCTAAATATAATTTATAAGAAAACCAAATCAAATTTTTTTTCGTTATTAAGATGGTTTTTACGTTACCTTATAATACTATTATTATTATTATTATTATTATTATTGATATAATTATTTATATTATTATTATTATTGATATAATTATTTATATTATTATTATTATTATTATTATTAGTGTATCCTTATTTATAACAAGATAATGCATTTTAGACAATGATTGAGATTCTCAGTGTACAAAATCTACATATGTTCTTTAGGTATAATATGTACATTGTACACTCACTTTTTTTTATCTCAATAAAATAAATATTGATAGTTTGATGAATATGCATTCGACTTTATTTCATCACTTATCCTTTTCCCAGAATATGGATTTTAAATCTTAGTGCATACCTAAACATAACAATAATAACAATTCGGAGCAGTCTACAACCTAAACAAAAACTTTTACCTATCGTCGACACATGTTTATCGATGTAATATCACCTAAATGGACACGAATACATAAAATATAATACATTTTCATTTGATTGTCTGTGACGTGAGCCATGTTAATAGAATCACAAGCATTTTATTTGATAGAAAACCATTAATTTTAACCTGTTTAAATCTATCCATTAAATAAAAACTAATCCAAGTTAACGATTGATCAGTTATGCTATACATTTTGAATTTTGCAATCAGCATAAAATGGTTTAATCATTCGAAGGCCTTGTTGAAATCTATATAAATAACATCCGTCTGAATACCGGATTCCATAGAATTTACAAAGAACTGCATAGGCGCAACTAGGGTCAAAAATCTGAGGATACTAAAAAAAATGTTTCCAAGTCATATGTCTAATCTAACAATGTACTCTCCATAATCACCAATTAGTGATTTAATTAGGGATTTTTTTAAAGAGGAATGTGGCAAAAAGCCAAAATATTACCTATTTATAAATAAGGTATATTTTGACAATCAAGTTTTTGGTAACTTGATTATTAATTCAGTAAATAAGCTGCATACTTATTCTGTATTCATCATAAATATACGATAAAGTGATATAACTCAAAGAGGTGTAATAACCTCCAAACACCTCGTTATTACATACTACTGTCAAATAAAAAAGAGTGAAATCAACACAAAGATAGCTTAAAAAAATAATACACCTCTGTAATAATAAAAATATTGTAAATTATGAATAATAATAATAATGTATTTAACAAAATTATATTAAATAGTTAAATATCCATTTTTGGAGTACAAAGTAAAAAATTATACTTTATCATATCATACATATAGGTAATTCGTTATATAACTCATACGAGTACTTACTTGTATTACAATAAATATATAATTTCAAATATTATGTTTAAGTTAAAAAAATAAATTCAAGATATATTCAAACAGTGGCGTAACTACATGGTTGCATAGGTGTGCATTGCACCGGGGCCCGGGGCCTAGACGGTCCAAAAGGGGACCCTAGAATTTTAATATTTTGTTTAAAATATATTAAAATTTTATATTTTGTTAATAATTTTAAACTATTTTATAATAAATAATATACTACGATGAAACCATAAACTTTTATATTACGAAGAGTATAAAAATACATATTATTATGTCATTTATTTCATGTATAAATATAATTTGATTAATTATGATATATTTTATGAATTATAAATATTATAATACATAATATAATTATACATTTTATATATACGTGTAATTGTCTAATTTTATTCATATAACGATTTTTAGGGGCCATAAAATAATACTGCACATGGGCTAGAATTTTATAGTTACGCCACTGTATTCAAGTTGTATCATACGTTAAATATAGTTATAAGATAAATACGATGAATCATATATTTTTAATTATCTAAGTATAATAAATTGACAATATTATTATTTTATATTAACGTAATACCTACGTCTATCTTTTTTTAAAAATTATCAACAATGAACTGAGTGTCGATTAAATTAGCAATATCTCTTTCTATACATAAAATAGATAAATAACTTAGTCATTCTTGACGCATACTACTTCTTAACCAATTTTTAGCACGTCTTATTGAGGAAAATGAGCGTTTGTATGCAACTGAACGTATTGGAATAGTTATTGCAATTTGTAACAGCTTGTACACATTTGGATAGATATGTTTTTAAAGTTTTAACAACATTTTTCAAATGATTAAATTATTTTTAAACACTTAAACAATTATGTAAAAGTACCATTTCAGACTTCAAACTGTCAATTGAAATTTTTACAACATCCTGAAAGAAAGAAAAAAGATTATGACAATTAATGGTAATAGATTTTACTGCAAATAATTTACTGATGTAAGAATCATTTCAGACAAAGGTCATTTTAGTAGGATTATTCTTACTACCTTATAATCTAATAAAATCGAATTTAAGTAAACTTCGTGAAAAATTCAAAATGTAATCAGAAATATTATAGGATAAAGATAACTAAGTACAATTGCATTTAAGACATTGATAAATTTTACAAAAAAAAAAACAAATAATTAATTAATATTCATGTGTAACCTGTTATTGCAGATGTAGGTACGTACCTAGGTACACGTTCGGGAGTTAACCGCTATATTTTCGCATATACTTACTTAGTATCTACTTAGACACAGTCACACTCGCAGTAATATTCACTTACTAATTTACTACCTATAAGCACATACACGACCCAGGCACAGGCTCTTAGAAAATCACCTATAATATAGATACTCCTTAAAAATGACTAATATCGAATGTCACTAGGTCATATTATAAGCTACCAGCTAATTATGCAAGTCACTGGTATGATTTTTCTACCACAAATTTGATACAAATTTATTTTAAACATCCCCTCAAATTCATTGAGTAGGTATCTAGTTCTGTAATACAGTTGAAAGGAGCAAATTAAAAAAAAATTACATCAAGTAAAAATACTTCAAGATTAGATATGCCTACAATATACTTTAGTCTTATAAGCTTTACTAAAATAGTATTGGGAATTATCTTCTTAATAGATGTTTATTAGGCTTTGTTGTTACTATTTAGTCTTAGGTAGGTACTGACTATGAGTTACGACGGTTCAGAAACTATTTTTTTCGGTAATTTACATTATGAAATATTTAGGTTTTAAGTGCATTCGCTATCATAGATTTCTACGATTTTATTTAAAATATAAATATGTACCAATAATATAAGCGTGTGGTGTGAATATCATTGATTAAAATATTTCTAAATTAATAGGTAAGTATTAAATATTATACTACCAATATAATACTACTCTATAGTGCCTATTATATTAGTACAATATACATTAATTTGTGTTTATTCGTCATTTTATCATTTTTATCACAAACATTTTAAGAATTTGTAAATTTAAAATGTCAAATATCTGAAATATCTATAAACACCTAGCTCATAAAGCGTCAAAATGTTTTAAAAATGTTATTTACTTGTAGTATCTTATTACGTATATAAAATTTTAATAAAAATATATGATGATAACTTGACATTTTAAAATAAAATTAACATACTCATCACACTGCTCTGCAGGATCAAAAAAATAAATAATTTTTCAAGTAATTATTTGAGATTCATTTTTTTAATTTAATAATAAATATATAATCTATATTACTAATAATATTATTAATATATAATATTATGTGTGAAAAGAGTTTCACCCACCAGTGACTCTTAGTTTGAGGGGTGATTAGGAAAGATAGACATTAAGAAGAGAGAGAAGAGACAGGGAAAAAAAAATTTGAATAAATTAATGCAAAAGATCTCTACAATCTGTACCATCTCCTTTTCAGTCGACGACGAGGATTATTAGGAATCCTCAGCGAATTTGCGAGTAGTGAGAAGAATCGCTTGTAAAATATTACTGGTTCTTCTTCGATTGTTGAGACAATTTAATCATTGTGGCGCATTAAATTTGAAATGCATGGCGGAGCATTATTAAGATGACGCAGAGTGATCTAACAAATTTATGAAACTTAAAACACAGGTAAAGAACTATGTGGTGAATTTTTCGAAGAAGTGACATTTTTATTGATTTTATTGAATTTTAAATGGATAATTCAAATATGTACTTTTCTGAACTTTTGATTTATTTCAGTTTTAAAATCATAGTAAGAAAAAAATTTCAATTGAACTTTTAAATAAAATTTGCAAAATCGATTTTAGCAACTATAGTTATGTAAATATTGAAAATATTTTTGTCCCAGTTTTTTTTTTTTTTTTTTTTTTTAATAGTACTAGATTAAAAATACACAACTATTAGTGCCAATTACAAAATAAAGAATAATTATTTAAATTATTTTAAAGCCAATTACAGTTTGATCATTTTTCCATAAAAATTAAAAAGTAGCCTGTAAGTAAAATTAATTTAAGATGAGCAATCATATATTTTATACTCAGTTATACATTTTAGTTACATTCAGTTAATTGTATTTCTAAATAATAACTCCAAAGATTTAAAATATAATTTGTTTTGTATAGAAAAAATTACTCTATCAAAATCTACTTATTGTACTTTGACATAGATAGTAAATAATCAAAAAAAAAAAAAATAATTTTACTTAACTTACATTTTTTTTTTATTTTGATATTAATTAAATTCAACAGGTTAAATATGTTAGTTATCTTTCTAGTCTTGACTATTTTAATTTACAAAAAAAAAAAAAAGAAAAATAATCTCTTCTTAAACCTAAATTAAAATAATTTTGAACAAGTATTGAGCAATGATTTGTTTTTTTTTTCCAAGAAATAATTTTAATTTTATGTATTTTTGAAAATGATATTACTATAGACAATTCTGCACAATATTTTTAGAATCTGAATACATTTTGAAAAGGAAAATGTTTTTACTTATTTTTTTAATTTCAATAAAATTTTATATTATATACCTTAAGTCTAAATGATAATACCATTTAATATAATAATGTTAATTTTTGATAAATTAAAGTTTAATATTCAAATAACTCATATTTAATAATTGTAAAAGATTTTAATTGTTTGTTTTAATAATATTTAATTAAAATGTTAAACTATATTTTAAGTGTTTTTAAGTAATTCATTGGTTGCATTTATTATTCTTAAATCATCATTCATCACATATTAACTGGTGTCTCTATCTTACATTCTGGGAAAAATAAAAGAAGTGTTTTTGAATATCAAAGACATTAACATTAAATCAATTAACTTCTACATTTTTATACAATAAATATTTATACATAAATATAATAAAATTTGTCATAAAAACTTAAAATATATGTCACGTAATATTAATTAATTTATGATAATTTTTTTTTATTTATAAAGTATAATACAATTCATATAATGACATTTACAAAATTTATAAAATATTATTTACGCAAGAATCATCGTCACAAAGAATTTTAAAGCTTAGTAAGGTTTCAGGGTTTTAGGATAATTTTCTTGTCCATGTAGTTAAAACTTTTTCTGCTTCCTTTAAAGTTTCATCTTTCTATAAATAAATAAAAGCTTAAATTTAATGTTATACTTAAATGAAGTAACTATTTAAAAATATTACTTTAAAGAAACAAAGACGCACGTAATCTTCAGCCAATAGTTTACTTTTTTCAGAAAAAAAGATTGATAATGGCATTATTTGAAATTTAACATTTTTGGAAAGCCATTTTGTAAATTTTAAATCCTTGTACTTATCAGTTTCTGAACTTAAATCAAGTTTATGTTCTAAATAAACAAATATTAACCATTTTTTATTATAAAATGCTATTATTAAAAACATGTGTTAACAAACCAAGTGATGTCCAATTGGAAACTAAAAAGTAACCGCCTTCAGGTATAACAGGTTTAAATCCAGATTCTTTTAATACAGTGGACATAAAATGCATTTTTGGTCTTAACTCTTTACATAAATTTTGAAAATAACTTTCTGGTGTATTAAAGACACTAATTTCATGTTCAAATCCTCTTGCAATCGCCTCCTGAACTGGCGTTGCACATGTATAAATTGCAGTCTGATGAACAGCAACTAAATTTTTTATAAGATTAGATGGACCATATGCCCATCCAAGTTTCCAACCAGTCATACTAAATGATTTGCCAGCAGATCCAATTGTAATTGTTCTTTCCCACATATCAGGAAGTGTAGCTAATAACAGATAAATTGAAATTTTTTAAATTAAAAATGGTATTTTGCAAAATTACACATATTATAATTTATAAATCACCTAACCATATGTTCTGTAGGATAAAAAAAATAATATTTTTAACTGTAGCAATTATAATAACCCATTTTATAGGAATCAATGTATCGCAATTAGTTTTGATTTTATGTAGCTATACCAACAACATGAATATAATATGTAATTTAAATTTATGTTAAACATTTTTTTTAAATTATTTTCCTGAAGATTTACTTGAATTATATAGTTTGTAAAAATGTTAATATTTTAGTTTAAGAATTACATTGTTTCTACTTTGAATACCTATATTATATAAATTTATTGAATTTTATAAAATGTATATAAATTAAATTTTAGTACCTACTTAATTATTTAAGTTATAAATTTAAAATAATTTGTTTAATACTATCTATAAATTTACTGAATAATAATTTTTTTACACTGCCTGTTAAAACTTTTTAAGTTCTATTTTAAGCTAATAACAGAAAATTATTTTTAAATCAATTAGTTATTAATTATTATATTATATTATAAATTTAATTTTGGGCTCCAATATTAAACATTTTTATAGGTCCTATACAGCATTTCTAATAATAATTTACCATAAATTAAGACAAGAAACTAAGCATTTTGGGAATTATGTTATTTTTGTTACAATATTATATTTATAATAATTCAGACTATTTGATATAATATAGTACAATATTAATCAAATCTAACTTGAGGGCTAGGTATTTAAATTTAATAACCACAATCAAAAATAGTTACTACACTTGAAGCTTGTTCAAAGTGATACAGGTGATCATTCAACTTTTAGCTAATAAATGATTAACCTACAGATTAAAATATTTTATGACCAATATATTATATAATAAATTATTATATAAAATAAGTACAACATTTCAAAAATTACAAATTCATGTCAACAGGTCCCTGTACTTTTGTCCCAATCGCCCTCTTTCGTAGGAGCCATGATTATTATTTATATTATCATTGCATAAACTATAATAGTATACGAAATTTAATTACCCATTCTTATGTGCTTAGCTGGTTCATATACCAACCATTCATATACCTCATCAGAAATAACGAGTACATTATGTTTCTTAGCCAAATCTGCAATCATTGTTAACTCTTCATAATCAAATACTTTGCCTAATGGATTATGTGGTGTGTTAACAATTATAAGTTTAGTTTTAGAGTTGAATAATGACGCTAATTCTTCAGGGTCGAGCTTCCAATCACTCGCATGTGATACTGAACTGTTAGGCTTGGTCTTCATAAATAAAAAAACATAATTATTGTTTTTGTAACTATTTGTGATATTAAATTGTTTTAAAAATATTCTTACGTTTTTTAAAGCTATGAATCTGGGAATTCCTCCAGCGATACGTACTAATGGTTCATAGCAATCAAAAAATGGTTCAATAATAATTGCTTCATCTCCCACCTCTATATTACTCTGTATACTACAAAAAAGTGCTTCATATGCTCCAACTGTTATTAATATTTCATTTAGTGGATCAATTTTTCGGTCAATTAAATTTGAATAAAGTTTGGACAATGCATTCACCAAGCGTACATGACCCTAATAATTAAATATATATATATATATTAATTTTTTTTGAGGAAAACACATATTTTATTTTTTTTTATTTCAATATTACCAATCCACGGGTGTATTGATGAAAATATAAATTCTTTTCCAAGGCCACTTCAGCCAAAAATTTAGAAAACTTTGATGGTGGTTCATAATCTGGAAATCCTTGACCTAAATTCAAAGGCTTAGTAATCATAGCCAAATTATTGTATTCAATCCTAAATTATAAAAATAAATTAAATTGAATTTATATTTAATCAATATAATGTATTAATAATACTACTTATAATAGGAGTTACCCCTGTGTACCAAAATTTCAATTTGTATACATCGGAGTACTCCAAACAACTATTCTGCTTTGGAATAATAAACTAAAAATGCACATTCTCAATAATAAAAGTAATAAATTTAAAAAAATAATAACAATATAGATTCATAGTAATTATTTAGAAAATTATTATTTTTTAACGATTTAAAAATGTATAAAAAAAAATATTTTCAAAAACTAATAAATAAATTTTCTAAATTTAAACTTAATAACAGTAAAATTTTACGCAACTTTGCAAATGTTTTATGTTGGTTTTTTTTCTGTTCTCAAGTAAAATAATTCTTAAACTTAACTGAAAATAGTAATATTATTGATAATAAGTTATGATTATCTAATAATCTTACTAATGAATAAATAATCATAAGACATTGTGTTTTACAACTTAAAGTGTAACAATAATTTTGCTAACAATGAAATGTATTTAAAATGTTTAAATAAGAAATATAGTTTTGTTTAAAATATAAAAATCCACTGTCATTAAACAAAACAAAATAGTGAAAATTTAAATTGTATTAATTTAAACATAAATTCTTAAGTACCCATCAACAAATATATTTGTTCTTTTATGAAATACAAAACTATGGGTACAAACAATTTGATATAGTTTGATATTTTATGGGAAAGCTAGGGAATAGAGAAGTAAATAATTAAATTATATATTCATTGGAATCATTGAAAATGAATTTAAAAAATGTAATACTATCTAAACTCATGATAATTTAATATTTAATGAATAATATATTAAAATATTTACCAAATGTTGTGTTGACCAGATTCATATCTTGATGCTAACTTAAACTTTTCCATTTTTTTTTGATTATTATAAACTGATAAGTATAAATTTTTTTTTGAAAAAAATATTGAATTTATACGTATAGATTGAACTCTTCTAATATTATTGCAGAATAAAACCCTAAATTAAAACCATTAAATACATTATACACTAAAAACATAATATTTAACATTATTGATAAAACTAATTTTTGTTAAGTACAAAAATTTGCAAATTTGTTATTTTAACTATGAACAGTAGATAAGTGTTACCTACTCAAATCAACAGCTAAGAAGTATGTGACTTTAATACTCTAATGATGAATAGTATTAACTACTAGTTAAATGTGACAGATCGCCGGTTATTCATGCATTAAGACTGAAATAATCTGTAGTGAATTAAGTCCACAACAGTAATTAATAATTGATAATATGAATACGGCCATAAATATCAAATTTATTTCATGTTGTATAATAAATTGACCTATTTTTTTTTTCTTTAATATTATTTAAACACTATATTCGTTAAGACAACTATATGTTTAAATGAACTTACATATTAACACTAGATACTGAAATATTGTTTTTTTTAAACTCAAGTGACTTCTAATTATTGAAGTTATTATTAAAATAGATAATTTACAAATTAATCTAAGAATAATTATAATTTTAAATATCACAAAACGCTAATGCGCTGAAGTACAGCGAACATAAGTGTAGATGACGTTATAATTTAATTAGGAAAAAAAATAATAATCACTGTTTTGTTTTTTCAGATAAAATAAAATATATTTTATAAAAGGGCGACAGCGTGATAATCGATAGTAATTAATATTTATTACCGGCAATTTTATAAGGCTTATAAGTTTATAGCAGTAAAACGTTATCATTTCGTGTTGATATCGCACTCGCGACACTGTTGACATTCAACATCAAAACGGTTTGTTCACACTCCATCTGTTCCTTGTTGCAATTTGTTGGCAATATTAGTTCATTATTGACGCAACAAATACGAACACATTATTATCTATCAATCATTATACTTTGAACAGCGTTTAATTAAATCGAACATTATTACACTCGAATAATGTTTAATAGAATTGTTTAAATTGTTTACATCACAGACTTGAATTCCATAATCACCACATCATTATCACGTCAAGGGGTCACGGACTTGTAGCGGATCCGGTGGTAGCTTAAATCACGATGAACACACTGGTTCCACTTACTAATGGGTTAATATTATGGATTTAAAATAATACAATAAATACTATTGGAGATAAAAAATAATGAAACGGTATCGTCGAATAACTAACTCGATGCTTTGGGTTATCAGTGAGTTATCAATTATTATCACTGAGTAACATATCACACGATATTATTATTTACTTATTAATTCTTTCAACTGCTACGGACTAACACCTCTGTTTCGTTGCTTATAAAATAAAATGCGTAGTTTCAAGTTTGTGGATTATCGTCAGTTTGGCGATCGCACTGATAAATGCAGAAAAAAATTTAACTGTAAGAAAAAAAAAAAAAAACATTTCTACGTTTATGTAGGCGATGGAATGATAGAGATTTTAAATTATTATTGATTTCTAAAGATTAACCGAAGTGACGCTACTTTTAATAATTATACACTTATAATACGTGGTGCCTTTACTGGTCGTTGTGTTTGGTCACTTATGCGTATAAATTTATTACTTGAAATTCAAGTGAATTATTATTTTATTTTGTTTTTTTTACTTCAACAAATAGTTTAATGCGATTAAATTTATCGCTTAAAAAACTATTTACTGATATCGATTCAACAGAGATGGGAATTTTTAAGTAAGAAAAAAAAAAAAATTAGTTTTCAGTCTTTCAGAGTGAAAAGATAAAGCGAGGACGCTTTACAGTGCACACGGAAATATTGAAACCAAAAACTATAGTTAGGTATGATAATCCTAACACGTTTTAATAATAGACATAAATTATACCATCACTTTAGGAGATTCAAAATATTTAGACAATACAGAACTGTAGAAGGAAATTTTATCTGAGATTTAGTAGGTACCTATTTAAAATTACCATGTAAGACGTTATTAAATCTAAGAACAATATATGTGTTCACACGTTCGATTTTTTACAATAGGTATTTAAATCTAAAAGCGCGTTATGATCATTTTTGAATTATGACATATCTTACATAAATACATAATCGTATAAAAATTGCAATGACGTAAAAAACCAAACATCAGAACACAGATAATGTTCTGAACTTCTTAACTTAATAAATAGGTCAGTTTACTTTTATACCACTATTACACTATTACAGCTAACAATACAATAAATTACGAGCTAGTTCTGACGAACGCAATTTTGCTATATCTTATCTATTATTTACGCGTGGGTCGGAGAGAAGCAAGTTTTCTGTAATAGATTTATAGATTTGTAGACAACGTTGACTATACCATTTTATTACATAATTATATTTTTGAGGAACAAAAATATTTCGGTATTTTTAAAAATACAACTTCAATGTAAACGGATATAGGTGGAAACGCTGGTTGACGTCTTGTTATTTTCGTATCCAAGTAAATGATATTATGTTCTGATGTTTGTGTACTATTTTATTTCATCATAAAAGGAATGTTTTTAACAAAAATTGACGAGTACCTACGTTTAATCTATATATATATATATATATAGGTATATTATACAATACCAGCCAATAAGTATCTATTATTACTTTATTCCAAGTAGCGAGCGATTTTAGTTTATCATTTATGCCAATACTCATTTACAATAAAGTCTGTTTTTAATATATTTTTACCTAGTATGAAAAAAAAAAGTATGAAGAATAATTTTGGTATCAACTTACTTTAACCTACTTATTAGCTACCTATACGGCTATACAAATACAACACTAAAGGTATATCGTATACCCACAAGTTTTTGGTTAACCATTGTCCATTTGTTAATATTGAAATATGTATTGATTATTGTTATTATTTGTGTTAAATTGCATAAATAATTTAGGTAAAATTTGTGAACATTTTTACGAAATTGGATATATTAAATGAAAAATAACGATTTAAATTATTTTTTGATACTTAGTTATTTCAGAAATATAATTTGTAGGAAATTGACTCTTCAACGTTAAGTAGGTACTTATATTATCCATTAATTTTCAAAATATTAAAATTAATTTTAAGTTGTATTCCCTCCGTTCTATATCTAGTATTAACTTAAAAGTTATAAACAGCTATTATAGGTATCTAATAATAATATCCTATTGTGCGATATTTTATTTTTGCCAAAAATTAATTCAATTTATCATTATAAATATACTTATAATATAAATATTTTTATTTCATTAAGCTAAAATCATACAATATGTAGATTTTAGTTTTAATTACAATTAAAACATATTCATTAAAGCATAGATGTAATTTATTCAAATAAAGTTTCAAATATTAAACAATCATTAATAATGCAATACATTTTAAACGCAGTAACCTTGTTTTTTCTTTCTTTCTTTCTTTTATTTATTTATTTTTTTTTTGCTTAAAATTTGTTTCTCATAATCCTATCAAGTTAAGAGCAGTCAATTGGCTATTTTCTTCTAAGCTTTAGGCGTCAGAATGCTATAAAAAAAGCTTTCGATTAGATTTATAGTTGTGCCGTTATGACGTCTAACACTGCAATTAGTGTATTTATTAAACATGGTTTACAGCCAACAGGAACGAATATAAAATTTATTTTTATACTCACAAATATTTATCTAGTGTATCTAATTACCTGTAGTTTAATATAAATCCATCATCACCCGAGTACTTTTTTTAAATTTTTTTAATGTTAGTTTTCTATTGTTAGTGGCAATATGGAGTGTCAATAAAATATTACAATAATAATGACACGAGCCACAAGCGTGAGTTTACATAAGTTTAATTAATTATTTAATTGAACACAAAAATTAATGTGCAACCATAGGATTGGAATAAATTTCAATTACGGTAGGTAGAGCAACACTACAGCTAATTAGTAATAGTAAAACGATATCTAAATGAATAAATAAATGATGTTAATAACTTTATGATAATTTAACTGTAAATACTACATGTAAGTAGGAAATATACTGGTAGATACTACAGATAAATAGTTTTAAATACTATTATTTTGTCGTTAAGTTTAAATAGTACTTAATCAAAAATAATATTGATAGTTGTAATATAGTTGTAATATAATATTGATTTCAATAAATATATGTATATATTAGTCATAAATAGAAGTGAGTTTTTATAGTACTTATAAACTTGGATTAAAATGCAATCAAAATGATAGAATAAAATGAAAAATTATTTTTATTGGTTGTTGTCATAAATATTGAAAATATTAAATTTACAATAAATTTACACAATTTTAAATTTCAATAGGTAGTCATTTAAATGGAAAAAAAATAATAATAACATTTAAAAAATATATGTTCCATCAAAAAAAGTATATTTCATATTAATTAAAAAAAAAAAAAAGTGCCGCACCCTGTTGTACATCAGGAGTTGAGTGTACAGACTTCGTCAAACAGATTTGCCCGACGGCGGCGGCGTTTTTCAGCAACAGTAGCCCAAATTAATCGCGTTGTATTTCGGCCGTGCGGTACACCCTACAAAGTTATTAATCATAAATGTTCAAAAATTAACACTCTTACAAAGATACATGATAAATTGATCGTTTGTCCTTTAGAACTCTAACAACTATACTCCAGTATTATAACTTTTTAGTTATGGATTTTTTCTCACGTACAAATTTTAATTTCGATTTAATGAACATTACTGGGACATTCGCCAATTTTTTTGGAATTTATTTTCATTAGTAGAACTTTTTTTTAAATATTTATGCTTCACTTAAGCACAGCATAACTTTTGTATAAATTTTTTCTGGAGTGGGGCCAATTTCACACATGCGTAAATATCTGGTTCATATAAATATATATCAGTGTTCAGATAAGTATTACTAATTACTATCTAAGAATTTATTTATCACCTATTTGTAAATTTATTAAATTTATCATTATAATAATTGTTATAAACTAATAAACTTGTTTTTACTAAAAATATTTTATTTGATAAATATATCAAAGAAGCCAAACCAAGGGCGTTATTTAATAGGGGAACGAGGGTGCAAGATGTGTATTTGCACCAACTTTTTTAAAACGCATTCTTTGATCTGCCAAAAATATCGAGTCATAATATTTTTTCATGGTTATAAACGTTTTTATTTTTAAAACTCTAAAGTTTGCCATGAAACTAAATTTAAGTTGTTAAGTTAAAATAACAAGTGGAAATATAAAGAAATATGAATTAAATGGATTATATATCATGCCATTGTTGGCAAGGGTATACCCATAAAATACATTTCGAGTTTTATTTAGGTAGGTAGCTATATCAGCGATTCCCAAATGTGCTCCGTAATTGTTTCTCAAGGGCTCCGTTCGCTTTGCCATAAAAATTTAATAATAAAACAATTATTGATCTTTATTTAAAACAACGAACGTACCTATATATTTTAACGAGACTCCGTCAACTCAATACACCGATATGTGTACCTACACAATATTGAAATCCCCATAAGAAAATATAATAGTCCAATTTCATATAATACGCATTACCATTTTTGATATTAGTCGGATCGTCGTATATTCTGATGATATGCGACTTTAATTAACTTCCGTAACACTGCAGACATCGACAAACTTTGTTACAAAAATCAGCTACGTTGATCACATTAAGACACATTTTAAGACGTATACATGTAACGCTGTGCAATTTTTTAATACACTTAATTATAATATATATTAAAGTTTTATTTTCATTTTGCAAACATAAATTTTAAATAATAAATAATATTTTCTTCAGTTCTATTAATACTATTGTTTCTTTTATCAATAAATATTTTATTATTCTTACTACTGCGTATACATATCAATTATCATGTGTAATATGCTTCACAGAACACAGGCAAATAAAATTTATATGAAATATTTCTCGGGACTCTGCGAGAAAATATTGCTTAAAAAAAAGATCATGTGGCTGAAAAAGTTCGGGAACCACTAAGCTATATTATAATGTATTTTGATTGCATGGTGACAAATTATATATGTTAGGTTAGGTATCTTATTATTAAGGTGTTTATATTTATAAATGTACCTATTTATCAAATGTAAATATCACTGGTAACCACAAAATAAATATTAATATAAATGCATTGAAAGTTCAAAGTACACATAATTATACGAAAATAGTAAGAAGAATACGAAAGAGATATATCTCTCTTTGATCCGCTCCCTCACAAAAAAGTTACCCATCATTGTGGTTTGGTAATGATTTTAAATGGTCTTCAAAAATGTTGACATCAATAATAAAAAAAAAAAACTAAAATAACACTCTTGTGTATAAAACTAATATAAATAAATACCTACTATACCTATTAATTGTAATCTTCAGTTAAAATATGAGTCTTATAAATAGTCAACGTTAGTAAATGCGATATAATATATGGAGTTGATTCAATTTGCCAGCTGCGTGTATATATATATATATCAAGAATTTTTCTCGTGAATAATTTTTGAGGATTAATCTTTTCTTTATTATAATTTTTACAAAGTATTTTAAAGTTTAGATTTCGGTTCTGATAAACTATGCGTCCATGTTGTTAAAATCTCTTCTGCTTTCTTCAAAGTTTCATCTTTCTGTAAATAATAAAATACATTTTTACAAAAAATTCACCAGAGTAAAAAAAAAAACCTTAGTTAAAAATTACTTTAAAAAAACAAAATCGCAGGTAATTTTCAGCCATATTTTTGTGCTGTTCCGAATAAAATGCTGAGAACGGTATTCCTTGAAGTTTAACATTTTTAGAGAGCCACTTTACAAATCTAAAGTCTTTGTATTTATCAGTTTCTGAACTTAAATCCAATTTATTTTCTAAAAAATAAAATGTTAAAAAACAAAACAAATTACAACAGTTAATATCTTAAACACAATAGACATTGCTATAATAATATATAGATTATCGGTACATACCAAAGTTCGTCCAGTTTGAAATCATAAAATATCCTCCATCAGGCATAATTGGTTTTAAACCATTGTTTTGTAATGTCTTAAATAAATAATGCATTTTTGGTTTCAACTCTTTTGACAGGTTTTGAAAATAACTCTGTGGCTTATTAAGGACACTGATTTCATGTTCAAATCCTCTAGCAACCGCCTCCTGAACTGTTGTTGCACATGTATAAATTGCAGTCTGGTGAATAACGCACATATTTTTTATAAAATTAGTCGGACCATATGCCCATCCAAGTTTCCAACCAGTCATACTAAATGTTTTGCCAGCAGATCCAATCGTGATTGTTCTTTCCCACATACCAGGAAGTGTAGCTGATAACAAATTTGAATTTTTTAAATTAAAAATGGTATTTTGCAAAATTACACGTATAATTTATAAATCACATAACCAGACGTTCTGTAAAATGGTAGGTATTTAAATATTTTATAAAATTGATTTTAATTTTATAACTTATAATAAGCCAATTTATAGAAATCAATGTATCGCAATTAGTTTTGATTTTGTGTAGCTATACCAACAACAACATGTATGTAAGTAATTTAAATTTATGTTAAAAATTTCTTCTCAAATTATTTTTCTGAAGAGTTATTTAAATTACGAGTACTAGTTTGTTAAAATGTTAATATTTTAGTTTAAAAATTGCATTGTTTCTATTTTAAATATCTATATATCAATGTATCTATTGAATTTTATAAAATGTATGCAAATGCAATTTTATTACCTACTTAATTATATAAGTTAAAATTATAAAATTATTTATTTCATACTATCTACAAATCTACCGACTAATAATTTTTTTATATTGCCTGTTAAAACTTTTTAAGTTCATAGTTTATTATTATAAGCATTGCTATGTAAAGATCAAAAATTTAATCATTTCTTTTATAAATTTCACTTTATATGCATCAAAAACAATATTATAATAATAATATGATTATTTAACAATAATGGTTGTTAAATTTATGTTTATTTTATTCTTTATAGTTAAAAAATCAATTTTTATCATCTAGATGCCTATAGTAAATTATATTTTTCTTCTTCAAAAAAAATAAATAATGTTAAAAGAATGTTTGCAGACTGTGAATATTATCTGAAATTTAATTGATACAAACAATACAGATAAACTTTAATGGAAAATTAATTTGCAGAGTGGATAAATGTAATATCAACATAATGATAAATTATTATTTTTTTTATTTATAGACCGTATCTGCGTTTTATACGAAGATATTCATATTAAAGCTGAAATCTAAAAATGTTGATAATTTCTAAAATACTTAGTATCTATATCATGAAAAAGTATTCAATATTTATTTAAATAATCTGAAACAGTATAGAATTAATTTTTATATTATATTCACGTGACAGTTTAGCTTATATCTATATGTTTTTGATATTTCTTTTATTATAAGAACAACTTATGATGAATTTTATAATTTTATTTCACACCTTTTGACTGAGAAATTAGTATTTTATCAACATACATTTAAATAAAACTGAATACGATAAAAAATTGCACGAAAAAATATCCATAAATAACCTAAAATTAGAATAATATTGTTTATAGAAAATGATAGTATATAAGACGTAATACTTGGTGGAGTATTTAAGTTTCTACGAGTAAAATTTTTCTTAGTAAAATAAATGAATATATAATATTATAATATAATATGCATTATGAAAAACCTAGTTTAAAATCTAAAGTATTAATATCAAATAATGTTTATTTAATAAAGTATTAAAAAGTTTTTTCTTGTATTCCATTCAAATAAATATACACTTAACAATCAATTATAATAGAATCTACCCTCTTTTCTTTTAAGATTAAATCAAACTTTTGATATAAAACGTGACAATAGACTCATTAACTTTTTTTAAATACACACATTTAAAAACCAAACACAGAATTAAAATATTATTAACAATTAATCATGTTTTAAGCACTATTGATTTTATAAAGTACCTATGTATAAAAAAATTTATTGTACAAAATTAAATTACCCATTCTTATGTGCTTAGCTGGTTCGTACACCAACCACTCATATACCTCATCAGAAATAACGAGTACATTATGTTTTTTGGCCAAATCCGCAATCATTGTTAACTCGTCATAATCAAACACTTTTCCCAATGGATTGTGTGGTGTATTAATGATGATGAGTTTGGTTTTGGAGTTGAATAATGATGCTAGTTCTTCGGGGTCAAGCTTCCAATCGTTTGCTTTCGGCAACGATGCATTCGGCCTCGTCTTTACAAACAACATAAATTATACAAATTAATTATTCTGAACAGTTAATCTGTTATTGTTAATATTGCCATGCTTTTTTATGTACTCACGTTTCTCAACGGTATAAACCTAGGAATGCCTCCAGCAGTACGTACTATGGGTTCATAACAGTCATAAAATGGTTCAATGATAATTGCTTCGTCACCGTCCTCTATATTGCTCTGTATAGCACAATAAAGCGCTTCATATGCTCCAACAGTCACCAATATTTCATTTACGGGATCAATATTTCGGTTAATCAATTGTGAATATAAATTTGATAAAGCTTTCACTAAACGTAAATGTCCCTAGAATTTTAAAAATAATTTTTTATTGTTAAAAATAATACGTATATATTATATTGGGTTTAAAAAAAAAAAAAAAAAAAAAATGTTTAATATTACAAATCCACGCGTGTATTGATTGAAATATGAATTCTTTTCTGTAGCTACTTCAGATAAGAAATTTGAAAACGTTGATGGTGGATCATAATCAGGAAATCCTTGTCCCAAATTTAAACATTTTGTAGTTACAGCTAATTGAGTAAATTCAATCCTTTAAAAATAAAGTATTCAACTATTTTTCTTTTAAACTCATTAGTAATCCCATTGACATTTGAAAAGTAGGTATAATTCCTTAAGGGCGGGCAAAATAATTTTAACTAAAAAATGTTAGATAATATACCTATCGAGAAAAATATTTACTAAACTCATTTAAAAAGAAATTAATACATTTCTTTTATTACAATTTGCCATTTTTTTTATACAATTTTAATTTTTAAGCTAAATTTTCTTTAATCACTTTACCATTTCTTCTTATTCCTCTTTAGCTGCTTATTAGTTCAGAAAATTATACGTTTGTATCAATTAAATAATTAAGCCAAGGTTAGATTAGACGAAATCTGTATTTAAAATATTTAAACAAAATAATAACAAAATAATTATTAGTTATAATTATTGTTATTACACATATTCGTATGTATAAACGTGACTTGAACTTTTATTTCGATTATACTTCAAATTAACAGGAAAAATTTAGTTATTACAATGGATTCTTTATAGTTAGTTAAGTTTTTAAGTTAATTAGAAAATTGATCAATAAAAGAAATAATTTATTTAGCTTTTACTCTGAAACTGTTTGATGCCCTTACTTTCATTTATTTTATATATTATTTCTTTCTTATTGTACATAAATGCAAACTATATATAATAACCTTACCTGTATAATGAGAAAAAAGCAGGCTCTTATATTGTTTTTATCGTAAACAAGTAACAAACACTTACCATACATTGTATACACCTGGTTCATGGCGAGATGGTAACTTGAATTTATCCATTATTTTTGAGGTCATATTAACTGATGTCGATAGTTTTTTTTTTAATAAACAATTTGGAATTGTTGAGAAAATATTAGCTCTTTTACATAAAATTATCCTTCAAAAAAAAGTATAAATTTAAAATATTTTTTGTAGTAAAACAATGAAAAACGAAACATTTATCAATTAATAAATTCCATCAAAATGTACAGGAACTACTATTTTTAACGGTGAGGAACTCTTGTATAATTTAATTATTTTTATGAATGAAATTTTAACTATTATTTCTGTTATCTTCAACAGAATGTTTTCTAAAAAATGTTGATAAATAATTATCGAATAATATTTTTTATTTAATTATACACATTGTAATTATTTTAAATATAGTCTGGTTCAAGTTATCAAACACAAATTTAAGTGATAATTTGAAAACTAAATATTTGTAATGTTTTCAAAAACTAAAATAATATTATATCAAAAATAATAAGTACCTATAGATAACCGAAAACTTCTAAAAACCTTAATACCTTTAGAAATATTCAGGCAAGGTCTTATTCGTGATACTCGTAATACTTGAAATTCTTGTATCGAATATTATCTTTATTTTATTTATATTTGTTTTTTAGGATTAATTATAAATGCAAAATATTATACATCTAGCATAAATATTAAAAGTTTTAAACATAACATTTTATAAAATATTTAAGAATTAAATAATTTAAAGAACTTACATTCTGTACAACTAAGTACACTGTCTGCTGATAGCGTGGTTGATGTTTGAACGTACCTTACGTAATATATATATGTGTGTGAATAGGTACGTACATGATTGGAACATTTTCATAGCAACATGATAAACTTTTACGAATTAATGACCTAAAAAGATAAAGCGTAATTCATATATAATAATATACATTATTATCAACAAATAACAAAAATCAATTACGAGTAGGACTGGTTACATAAACACAGTTGTTTACCATTATGTACGGTTGTGGAAAATCATACTATCTAATATCCATCAACATTAAGATTATTGTGACTTATAATTTATAGACAATAAGCATACAATTATTATAAGTAGGTAGGTACTTAATATCTGAATTTTTGACAACAGACATATTGAATTATTTTGTTTATGTACAATACAATAAAAAATTGTAATTAAATGAACAACGTGTAATAATATTGTCGGTTTAAAAGATATAATAAGTTAAACGGTAAATTTGTGTACGATTTAGATTTAATATTTATAAAATAAATGTCAAATAAAGTAATATCAGTATTCAGTTTTTAATTGTTTATGGATGAAATTTAATTAAGTAATAATGTCAAATTTCGGGATGAAATATAATACATTTATTTATAAGGTTATTTGTATAAGTAGAACATTATTCTAGAACGTAATATTTTTATGAGTATTTATTTTAAAGCGTTGTAAATAGATCTAATGATTTAAATATTTAATTAATTAAGTCTTGACATATTTTAATTTTTAAATACACCACTTTTTAGATTCCGAACAGAAATTTTTAATTGGTCTAAAACCTTGATAATTTAATGCCAGGTTCCTTAGTTAATTAAAAATATTAAAAATAAATTGCCACAATTTTTTTTATGAGTATTTGAAGTTAAAGTTTTGTCAAAATCATAAAAATTTGTAAATTATTTTATTGTTAAAAATGTATAAAAATAAATGTTCAATTTTTATAATCAAGAATTGAAAACTTAATAAAAGATTCTACATTATATAGTAAAATCAAAAAAATCTAAAACATATAAACACTATATTTATTATAGACATTTAAGTTTAAAATTGGTCGAAGTTAGATTTTTTTTATAAGTCAAAAGAAATTAGTTATTTTGTTGTAATTTAAAAATTTTATTACTAAGTTCTTTTAACTTTTAACATAAATCATTGTATTTTATACATATAATGACATTTTAAATTACAAATTTTTCGGCAAAAATTAATTTAATCTTATTACCTATTACCTACAGCAGAAGGGTTACTTACTTTTTATTTTTTTAAATACATTTTTATCATAAATCAAACTAAATAAAAATTAATTAATTTGTATTATGATAATCATATTATCTAAAAACAAACTTTTTTTACTTACAAAATATTAACTTATAAACTATAATAACTCACCTGCTGACACTTTGATTATAATTATTATAATATGCTTGCATATTATAGCCACTTGAAAACCTCTAAATTATAATATTAATTAAAATTTTCTATTTTTATATATTTACAAATATGAAATATTTATATTTCATTTAGAACAAATGGGTACAATATTATATAATACTAATAGGTTAGGTTAATTTTGACAATAATAAAGCATTTGTGAGTACATGAATGCTATTTGATATAATCTTATTTACTTATATTTAAATTGTTTAATTTTTTTTTTTTTTTATAATTAATTAATTAAGATTTTATGTAATATAATAAAATAAACTATAGGTAATTTAATGTCGCAACAATAATTAATAGTTACTTAATTGTTTCGATCGTGTAATTTCCATATGTTGATATAATATATTGTTTTTAACGCTTCCGATTAAAATTTAAATTGATTCGTTTTAGATGGGTATTAACTTGTCTGTAGGTATTTATCTAGTCATCAGTAGATGGTTAAAGCAATAAAGTCATATTGATTGAACATAATTGACAATATCATTGTCAAATAAGTACATTTGGAAATCCTTTTAAAGTAATTTCGAAACGTCCAAAATAGCACTATATAGATAACAAATTTAAATTTGCTGCACATTAAATGCTTATTGTTTAATACCTACATTATACTATGACTATCAAATAGCCAGTGCATTACTTGAATGTGTACATTGAAATTCGTTTTCAGGGAATCGTCTCATGGAATTTTTACAAGTCATTAAAAAAAAAAAAATCTAAAAAATAGGATATTTCTTTAGTTTTTCTTATCATAATCTATAGCTTCCAAACGGAACGATAAATACTCGTATATTGGTGTTACAGTGGTTTTTTTTTTATGTTTGCCATCATTTTTTGGAGCAGTAAAAGTACTATGATCTAACATTTTTATAGATGTGATTTCTAGTACGAAATTCAATCTAGTTGAAATGCATTAATATTAATATTCAATAAGATACTTATGCTCGTTTCAATTATAATCATTTTGTCAAATTTAAACAGTAAATTTTTCATTATCAAACATTTCGAGTATTGTACAACTAATAAATACGAATTTTAAACATATCATTCACATTTTAAAGATAATTTTATAAATAAATCGTTTTCAATCCTATCGAATAGTAATAACGCGTCCGTGCTAGACGAATCGTTTCGTATGTATCAAAATTAGTGTTAAGTTAGATTGGTTGTATAGCTAGTGGTTAGTTATTAATTATAAAACTAAACGTACGATCAACATTGCAATACAGTTAAACCTCGCTAGTCAAATTTATTTAGGATTCGGGGTTGACAGTTGAGAAGTTCTGTCGGATTGTTTAGTTTGTCTCTTATTTTTTGTCATTTTGCTTCCAAACAAAATAAGAAAGAAAACAAATGTTGGATTACTGAGTTTTTCGAACTAGCGAGGACATACTACAGTATAATAGGTAACTGTAACTTAAATTGTGGGGTGACTTACCAGATAAGAAATATTTTTCATATTCCATTGATTTTAAGCTGTCCGTAATTTTACAACTTATCAATTTACTTTTTTTTATTGTAAACAACATTTTTTCGGAGCATTTATTTAATGCCAACCTCTCTAAAGTCTCTGTCAAGTGTCGTCGATGGAGTGTAGGTGCATAATATTATGGTGAACATGACGCGATACCGTACGTGCGGTGTTTTTTATTTTTTTATTTTTTTTTTTTTTATTGTCATTATTATTTTGCGCATGAACGATAGCTTTTATCGTATTGGTATACACTACACCGACATGATACACAATAATCAAATAATATACGCGTCTACTCGTATGTTTGTAAAAGGTGTGTATACTTTGTATATACTCGTAGTTTTACATAGTGTTTATTTTTCTCACAGGTAACTGTCACGAACGAAAAAATACGTCTCGACTTTCAGTAAAAAAATAAACACATGAAATTCATATTCATTATGGCCAACCTATTTCAAATTGAAACTTTTGTACTTTCTGAAAACGGATACGGGTATGTTTATTTTTCGAAACGTTTTGGCCGTCAAATCCACATAGCTACCATTAGTAGTTTCCTGCAGATAAACAAACAATAACAGCAGTCCACGGGGATCAATTAGTTAAATAGCAATAATTATGAAAAAAAAAAAAAAAAAGAAATACAATGAGTATGTGACTAATAGGCACGGTAGGTACGTGCCGGCACTTAACGTGATGAAATCCATTGATTAATTTACTACACATTGCAGGGTATAACTATATTGTATTATATTATTTGAAGCATGTATTTGTTTTTAATTTCAATAATACTTATGAAATTTAGAGAAATTGGAATGCGTCTAATTTTAGTATAATCGAAATGGTTCTACGCGTATTACAGATAATACAGTACATTATAGAATACAAATATATTATATAAATTTCAAATAAAATAATACACGATATATCATTATTATACCATTGGTACAATTATAATGTTAATTGGATTTTTAAAAATTTTAAATTTAAATTTACGAATAGATTATCTATTCGTATAGTTATCTATGATTAATTTTGTTCGTTAAGTATAACAACCATTATTCGACGTGTATCTAAGTAAAATTGTACAATTATTTTAAAATATTTAAAGCTTCTATAATACCAATTACCATCAATATAATAATTATATCACTCAAACACTACCCTCTGATTATACACGTAAGACGTATTATTTGAAAAACACGTCAGTATCGTATTTAATTTTAAAGCCGACTTTAAAATGTCAAAGGTATACAAATGAAATTAGATTACTTTTCGATAAAATTGTCACACGAGTTAAGTTAAATCATTTAATTCTCAACAAAACATTTCCAATTTAATGTAATTGTATGTATACATTATGTGAATTGTATGGTGTTTTTAGTTATATAGATGAAATTATTTTGACATATTTAGTTTTAAACATTTATAAGTTCAAACTTTTTGGTATGAACACTTATCAAATATTTTTCAATGTTCACTATCGAATATAATAAGATTTATTTAAAATATGTAATGTGTAATGTGTATCTAGGCTTAAGCATATAATATATGCAGAACGAAAGTGTAATAAAATATGTTTATACAGATCGGTAAATTGTATTAGAATACATATAATTCAAAACGACGTTTTTCGATCCCTAATTTATTTTTAACAATGCAGGTGTAAGTTCCATTATGTATCCAGTCAACAGAATGAATTTTAAGTATCTGTTTATTTTCTAAGTATTCTGTATCTTTTAAAGTCCATTGAGTTATAGGCAATGATGATTCAAGTTTTCTCCATAACAACTGAAAACACAAACAAAATGTATTTCGAATAACAACACTTTAATACTACATATTTTTTTTTTTTTTTTTATGCACTATATAATCTTCATTATAGCTAAATAACTCGATCTAAGTGATATTAGTGAACGGTTTCCATACTTGAGTATTCAATACTTCAATTATTTATTTATATTCTTTCTTTTATTCTAAAATTTACTTATTATTCACTGTTTTCATAGATAATAAACATTTATAATAATAGTAAAAGCTAAACAGCTTATAGAATTACCTGTATAAAATGATTATATTATAATACCCATAATTATTATACATTTACATTGTACTCAATGCATAAAATTATACAACTATGTCCCTAATTAGTATTTAT